GCAATAAAGTTAAAAAATTTCCGTCTCAGCGTTATACGGATATCCAGAACACAAATAGAACAAGAAACAGAACACCAGGATTTTTACATGAAAATCCTGAAAGGGAAAAAACCATGAGGCATCGCCCAGTTGAAATAGTTCAACTAGTGTTTTGTTTGAAATACAAGAGCTCGACTCGTCCACAAAGCTAGGACGATCAGATTACAATGAATCTCTTTTAAGATGAGATTCAATTACAAAGTTGAGCAGAATTCAGGTGTCGTCCGAAAGTTGGACTGAATTCTGGCGTCACTAGGGCGGCGGGAAGAACTCCAGCGGCGGTGGTGGTCGAGGAGGAGTTATTCTCTCCTATCATTCTTTTCTCTTCTTCTCTTCTTCTTCCTTTATTCTTCCTTTCTTCTTGCATGGATCCCCTCTCATGGGAAATGAGGAGTCTATTTATAGATTTTATGGAGTGGCATAGCTCGTAAATAGGTGTGAGATCAGGGGCAAATAGGAAGTGGTCGAATGGATGGCTGATATTGAATCCCTTGATCATACACCGTTCGTTAGATATTTGAAGGTATTAATGATGTCAGAATTTGATGATCTTGGGCTCGTTGGATTTTTCTCGTCAAGCCGTTCGATTCGACTATAAGCTCGTCAAAATTGGAGACCGTTTTGTAACTCGAATTGTGGTAAGAACTTTCCAACAGCACTTCGGGTGCTTGATTTGGGCTCGGATTGAGTTGAGTTTGGTGTCGTTGGGTTCGTATTTCCGAGATGCTCAGTTTGACTATAAGCTCGCTGAAATCATAGTTCAGGTGCTCCCGGATTTAATTTTTGAAGTTTCCGGCTTGATATTGCCTCGAGATTCATGCTCGATCAAAATGATTTTTTGAGAATATATAAGTTATATAACTATAGGGTACTGTCACTGTACTTGAAGCTACCTCCCATCTTTTCGTGGTACACGAGTGGCCTATAAATTATCCTAGATTTATGGAAGGCCTTAGAGCATCTCCAACGGAACTCCAAACGCTTGAATACCATTGCCCCAGAGCTCCAGTCGAATGGTAAAACTTCCGCTATTTCCTTGCGGGTGAATAGTGGGACACCAATATTGGTGTTGCACTGTTTATCATCTCTATTTTTCTGCCTCTACCGAACTTGTCAAGAAATGCGCGTAAGAAGAGAAAGACTGTTACCTTCGCAAAATGGAGTTCGATTGGAGATGAATCGCAACATTTTTTAAGTTTCACGACATTTGGAGTGAAAACGTGATTTTCCATTGGAGATGGTCTTAGGATGTTGGGGTTGGATTGTGTTAGCCAGCTATGACACATCAGGACTAATGCTCTACCGTGTAAAGTAAGAAGAAAATATTAGCTTGTAGTTAGTATATTATGTTTGTTAGATTGTATTATGTTCTATTTCTTAACATTGATTATATTTGTTACATTGCATTGTGTTGTATTTAGTAGTATTGAGTATGTTTGTTATATTATTCGTTGTTTTCTTTATTATCATTGACTATATATATTATTTTTCTTAGCATTGCCTCCGAGTTTAACATTCAATGAATAAAATAGTTTAATTGGCTTAATTCTTTTAACATGTATGGAAATCTCAGGCAATAACATATTTTTTTAACAAATCATATTTCAAACAGACTTAATACGGTACCTCATTACCCAACTATAACGTAAGATCAATTATTATTTCTTTAAAGCATTCAGTTGGAGGAATCTTAAAAGGACTGAGTTACATATCTAAATACTTATGGTACCAAAATGATATATCATCTCATAAGTTAATTCTATAATATCCGTCTACAAAACCTATAACTTAAAAAGGATAACAAACCTTACAAATAACATAAAAGTGATTACACTGTTGTTGGTCCTCCAATAGCAGATTTATATGTGCATGGAGTTGAGTTTGTGTGGGACAACAAATAAAGTAAAATTAAAACTTGTATTGTAAATTTTGCCAATCAACTAGGTTTAAAAATTTCGCCAATCAACTAGGTTTAAAAATTTCATTCGCTTGTCTCCAAGCAAAAACTTCCTCATTTTTTGTTTATACAAGTCCAAAATAAAAGCTTACTCAATTGGATCTCAAGGTTGATAAAGAATAAGATTTTCAAGATCACAACGTAGCCTATTTACAACGTCCGAACATCAGCCTTCCCTTTCACGGCGTACCTCTTGAAAATGCATCTAAGGAAAGTGAGCACCCAGAAGGTATCGATCTTGCTAAAAAAAACTTAGATTCAACATATTTTCATCCTCTAGCATTTAGAAAATTTTTAGTTATATTACCATATGTCTTTATCGTCTCTGCATTAAAATACCAAAGTACATGATCTTTGTCATATGTCCACACATGCATGAAACATCTGAACATCTCATTAGTGCTCGCATGTTGCTAGAGTGAACTGTCAGAATACTTTTACATACACTCATGCATTCGTTTGCTAACGATGCCCACGAACTCCTCCATCAATATACCACGAGACTTCTCATTATCGAGCAGGGGTGGAGCCAGGATTTTTTTATGGGGGCATAAATTATAATACCCTCTACTTTTTTACCTGCGTTTAGCATCAACATTGGTGATTTATTTTTTTTCTTCAGAATTGTCATTCAAAAAGAAAAAATTAACCTACAATTGAAAAGATTTGCTATTCTTATTCCCCCTCAAACTTAAGGAAAAATTCTATAAGATGGTGGTGAGACCTGCAATGCTTTATGGTGCCGAATGTTGACCATTAAAAGAGAAGCATAATACTAAGTTAACTGTTGCAGAGATGAGGATGCTTAGGTGGATGAGTGGCTTGGCCCTTAGAGATAGGATACGAAATGAGCATGTACGTGAAAAGGTTGGATTAGCTCCAGTGGAAGATAAGATTAGAGAGAGTCGTCTTAGATGGTTTGGTCACATTAAATGGAGACCTTCCAATGACCCGGTTAGGAAAGCTGAGGTATTGAATTTGAGTTATGTTAAGAAAGGTAGATGTAGTCCTAAAAAGACTTGGTTAGATTGTTGTTGGAGCAGACTTCTTGAGTAAATGGGGGTTGTGCCCCTATTATAGATCCACCCCTATTATCCGACCAATATATTTTGTAGAACATAAGGCAATATAAGATAAAAGTTTTCTTCAAAAAAACAAACAAGCTGCTAGAGAAAAATGCACTCAATGCTCACCTCCACTTTTACAACACTCACTTAAATAGCTGAAGTTCAACTATGTAAATCATTTCAAATTTCTCTTTCAATAACATCCAATAAAGACATTCACAAAGAATTCTAACAATCACATCAGTATCAATAGCTCCTCCCTCAACATGGCCTCCCATCACTGACGCTATACAGGATCACCATTGATATATCATAAAAAAATTATCTTGATCAGACACGAATCTTAAAGAAAAATTAGGTTGGAAACTTCAAAAATTAAATTGGAGACAGTATGAACTCCGATTTCAGCAAACCCATAGTCGAACTAAACATCACGATAATATGTACCCAACGACACCAAATTCGACCCAATCCGAGCTCAAATTGGTCCAAATCAATGACCTGAATCTCATTTTGAAGGTTCAAACCATAATTTGAATTACCAAATAGTTTTCAAAACATGGCATGCTTATAGTCGAATCGAGCGGCTCGATGAGAAGAATCTAACGAGCCAAAGATCGCCAAATTATGACATCATTAAGGCCTTCAAATGCGTAATAAATGGTTCACGGCAAGGGGTTCAACATCGCCCGTCCATTCAAACCGCTGACTGACGTAGGACTTCTACCCAATGCTGGACCTCTACTCATCACCAGAATCCTACCCGACGTCAGACTTCTATCTGACGCTAGACTTCTGTCCATCGACAGACTTCTACCCAACGTCGGACTTGCGCTCGTCATCAGATTCCTATCTGATACCAGACTTCCACTCGTCGCCAGACCCTATCCAATGTTGGAATTCCACCCATCATCAGATTCCTGCATGAGGCCAAACTTCCTCTTGTCACCAGAATTCCATCGGGATTCTACCCGAGGTCAGACTTCTGCTAGTCGTCGGCATTCGTCGGACTTCTATCCGATGCTGGACTTCTGTCCACCGCTAGACTTCTATCCGACGTCGTCCTTCTGACCTCCGTCGTCAAACAAAGGTCTTTACGACCTCCGTTGCTAAACATTGGTCTTTATGTCCTCCGTCACTCGCCGACTACGGTCCTTCCGACTTACATCGCCCACCGACTATAATCCTTCTGACCTCCGTCGCCCACCGAATATGGCCCTTCCGACTAAGCAAATACATCTATATTGACTCTTTATATTCCCACATTATGATGTACTTCATATGATGTAAATGAAGCCAAGGCCTTCTCCCTAAGGAAGGGCCTCATTTGTAATCAACTGCAAAATACTAGTGGATTCATTCAAACTAAGCTAGGCCCCGTGGTTTTTGCTCCTTTTAGGGGTTTTCCACACAAAAATCTAGTTTCTCCTATAAATGTCGTACGAAGCTAAGACGTTAAACTTTAAATTTCTCTATCGCCGCGAATACTCTATGACGCAACAACCATGATTCTAAAGCCCAAACATGTTGATCCCATTTGACAACACAATACTAATGCACTTTTAATATATATATATATATATATATATATATATATATATATATTACATATGCACAAACAAAAATGAATAATATCGCTATCAACTAAATTTAGTTGTAGATTAGTATAAATGATAAAAGTTTAATTATTTTTTTAAATTATAATACAAGTCTCCCGGTATACGAGCAACTCACAGTAGAATTTTATTATATATGTAATTATGTATATTACTTAGAGCTAGGCGGCCTGTTTTTTTTTTTTATCATCAACTATGCCTATTTTTAATTTTTTTAAAACACGTTTAATCATAATATTTAGTTACTAACAATACTTAGTTTAGAAATTTATCCTGAGATTTATCAGGCGCTCAAATCCCGATAAACAGGAATACAGGATCTAGCATAAATACTGCTCAAATTCTGCATAAATTCTATTAAATCCTGCTGCCAAACGAGAAACAGCCTCTTATTAGAGTCTACAAGAACAAAATTTAAGAAGAAAAAATTACATTTGAATATAAAACCAATCAAGAGCGAGCTGCGATCATATCCCTGATGAGAGCCTCGGCCGCCCGTCTCCCTGACACCAAAGCTCCATCGAAAGTCGCCGAGCTCCAATGGTCTCCGCAGATATAAACCCCATCACCGACGCGCGGATCTTTATCCGTTAACTCAGTGGGCGGACTCTGATCCGGCTGCGCGAACCCAATCCGATACGTTCTCAGTAGCTTCCATGATCTAACCTCCTCCGGCCCGAACCAACCGCCAAGCTCCCGCACCACCTCCGCCGCAAGTTCCTCATCGGACCGTCCAGCGCCGCCGCCATCTCCCACAACCGAAACCGATACCAGCGCCGACCCGCCCGCGGGCCCGTAGCTCGCCGATACGTTCGTAGGAAAGCACATGTTGTTCACTATTCCCTCGCCCGAACCATTCAATATTAGGACCGGCTCGCGAACTGGGATCCGGTCGGCGACAAAGTAGAGACAGACCGTGCTCCTAGCCGGTCTTCGCGATTCAGTTTTAATTTGGGGAAGAAGGCGCAGCGCCTCCGGCTGCTCGACGGCGACGATCACTCCCAGGTTTGCTGCGAGCGTCTCGCCGCCTGCGAGATTTACGTCCGGTGGGTTTCCGGGAACGATGGAGAGAACCTTGGATTGGAGGCGGATGGAGGATGAGGGCAGATTGGCAGCGAGCTGGGTGGGGATGGCTCCGATGCCAAGGGCGGGAAGGGCGTTATCGCCGGCGGCAAGGCATTGAAAGATGAAATCGAAGAGGCGGGAGGAAGTGGAGAGGTCGGGATCGAAGAATATTCCGGCTAGGAAGGGGCGGAAAAAGCGGTCGATGATGGAGGGGGAGAGGCCTAGGGCACGGAGGCGGTGGGATATAGTGGTTTCGGGGGATGAAGTGGGAGCGCGGAGGCGGTGGATGCCGACTATGAGCTTGTCGAGGACGGATCCAATGGGGTTGGGGAGGGAGAGGAGAGAGTCGATGGGGCGGCGGAAGGGGTCGGCGACGCGGTGGAGGCGGCCGGAGTGGAAGACGAGGGCACCGGGGTAGAAGGGACGGAGATCGAGGGAAGGAAAGTGAAGGAGTCGGCGGGCTTCGGGGTAGGCGGTGAGGAGGATTTGGAAGCCACGGTCGAGAAGGAACCCGTCGACGGAGTCGGTGCGGACGCGGCCGCCAAGGCCGTCGGATGATTCGAGGAGAAGGAAAGGAAGTTTGGCGGCGTGAAGGTGGGTAGCGGCGGCGAGTCCTGCGAGGCCGCCGCCGATGATGAGGATGGAGGATGGGGAGGCCGGCGATTGAGGGTTGGCGGATGAGCGAGTAGGGAGAGGAGTGCGGCGTGCTGGGGTGGAAGTGGGGAGGGAGGAGGCGGGGATTTGGGGAAGGATGAGGTGAGCCATGAAAGCTTTGTTCAGGAGAAATCTTGGCCATTGAAGGTTGGATGGATTAGGAATTTTTTTTTTCTTAATTTCTTTTTTATTGCCTTATCCATCAATCCAAAAAAATATTCAGTTTTATCGATATATTGGGCGAATGTAATTTTTTTTCTTAAATTTCGGTAATTTGATAATTTGATGAACTAATCTCAATGGTTGATGCATGTGATACATCATAAGAAAATTATCTTGATCATGCACAAATCTTGAAGCAAAATTGAGTTGGAAACTTCAAAGATTAAATTCAGGAGCATATGGATTCCAATTTCAGCGAGCTTATAGTCAAACTGAGCGTCTCGGAAACACGAACCCAATGACACCAAACTCAACCCAATCCGAGCCCAAATGAGTCTGAATCAAAGACCCAAAGCGCTGTTGGGAGATTCGAACCACAATTTGAGTTACCAAACGGTCTTCGATTTTCACGAGCTTATACTCGAATCGAACGTCTCGACGAGACGAATCCAACGAGCCCAAGATCGTTAAATTCCGACATCATCAAGGCCTTCAAATGACTAATGAACGGTTCATGATCAAAGGATTCAACATCGGCCGTCCATCCAACCACTCCCAACTTACCCTTGATCCTTCATATATTTACAAGTCATGCCACTCTCAAAAAACTATAAATAGCCCCCCACTCTTCTCATGAGACTTGCATGGGTTAAGAGCCATGATGATGTGAAGGAATCATGTTGGTATGATAATTATAATTGATTTATATTTAAGTTAATTTAATATTTAAAAAATGTTTTATATTAAATTAAATTACTTAAATATATTATAATTGAACCGGGCAGTTCTTAAGAACTTGGCCGGTTCACCAATCGGTCGATTCAACTGCCTTCAACCTACAATTCAAACTGGTTTTCACCGGTTTGATGTTAGATCGGTTTCATAAGAGGACTGAACGGTTGAACCGATCGAACCGGCTGGTCCTGTCTAGTTTTCAAAACCATGGATAAAATTGTTTTCCCTTCACACGTTCTCAAAGCCATTGTCTTACGTGGAAACGTGAAGCAATAACTGAGCGCCTTTATCATCTGAAGCATTTTTTTATTGCTTTTTAAAGTAGCTTTCTAATAATGAATATTATTTTTTTATTAGAAATTTACTTTAAGAAGGAGCAAGAAAACCATCCCAAACGAAGCCTTACTCTTATACTTTGCGATTATTGTATTAGTTCTTTGTGGAATTTGATTGTGTTGATTAATTGAGTTTTACTGTTAACAAACCTTAATTTTGTCAGTCAAGCTCGACAAGAAGCTCGCTGGAGGGAGCTTGACTTCGTTTGTGATAGCTTTCTTATTGTTTCTTGAAGTGATTTTTTACTTTGTACTATAAATCTGTTTCAAAGAAAAATAAGAAAGCCGTTCCAAACGAAACCTTAGTTGACTTGATGCATGCTTATTGATGATATTGAAACTTTCATTCGGGCGGTAAGTGTTAACAAATATTTTTTTAAATAAATATTATATGACAAAAAAAATTTAAATTTGTTCCCACATCTAATAATTGAAATCTATGTTAAGCTAAGATTTTGTTTGGAATAACTTTCTTATTTCTTTCAAAAGTAACTTTTTAACACAAAAAATTTTTAAACTAAAAAAATTTATACAAAAAAATTAGTTTAAAAAATAATAAGAAAACTGTCTTTAAGCCTAGGCCATAAATCAAAGCTTTTCAAGCGGGCCGGCCATTTTGTTCCATATTCATCAAATTCGGATGTTATTCCTCCTCTCCTTCACAGTAATGTGCTATAGAGACCCGTTAATTAATTTTTAATCAAATCACATAGTATTAAACCTATTAATCATATCGTTTTTTTTGTCATAAGAAAAATACTTTATTAATATTTTTTTATTGTTGGAACCAAAACTCTCTATAATCTATAATGCCAAAGGGGTAATGAAAGAGAGCCTTAGATGAACTTTAGATAAGAAGCACAGGCATGCAAGATAAGCAATAAACTATAGATGAATGAAGTTAAGCGTAGCGTTCCCAACTTCCCATTTTAAAAAAAAAAGGTTAAGCTTAGCAATTAATTAGTGTACTTAATGTCCTTACACTTTTTTTTTTCTTAATATCAATCAGATTAAAAAACAATAATGATAACTTTAAATAATAATATAGACTTAATTTAAAATAAATTTTTTATTACTTCTTAAAATAAAATAAACAACTAAATTTTCCGCTGCACAAACAGCTCAGCAACGCATCACTGTGTTTTGGCCGCTCCACAGAAAACATCAAATGCTTGTGTCTTTCTATGCGTCGTTCCGTATAGGATCATTTTCCGGCGGCTATATATGCTGACGTCTGGCGCCAAAACATTCTGTTTCATTCAGCCCTAGATCACTCTCACTCAGGCCGCGACGATGTTCTCGCAGAGAAATCTATGGCGGAAGAGCTTAGGATCCAAACCCGTGCTCACTCAAATCCTCCGGCGAACCCTCTTCGCCTCAACGCCTTCGCCGTCGCCGTCCGAGCGGCCGCCGGTGCTCCCGCCCTTTGACCACCAACCAACTCCCTACAATAAGATGATGGCCGACGAGATCCTCAAAAAGCGGAAAGAGTTTCTTGGCCCCTCCCTTTTCTACTATTACCAAAAGCCAGTTAGTAACCCTTCTAAATCGATTTTATTTTAATTTTCTCCTTCACCATTTCGAATCATCTAGTAATTCTTATTCAACTCGGTTATTTTGGTTTTTACCTTCACGTATGGCTCCACAGCTAAATATTGTGGAAGGGAAGATGCAGTATCTTTATGATGAGAGTGGGAAGCGTTATCTTGATGCATTTGCTGGAATCGTGACTGTTTCTTGTGGGCATTGCCATCCTGATATAGTTAATGCGGTGGTGGAACAAACTAAGCTCCTCCAGCATACTACCACAATTTATCTTCACCATGCCATTGTCGAGTTTGCCGAAGCATTGGCATCGAAAATGCCAGGAAACCTAAAGGTGTTGGCTTTACTTCTAAATGATGGTATTGACTATTTGTTTCTGTTCTCTGATAAAGAAAGGCTTTTTATTTGCATTGAACGCAGGTTGTTTATTTTGTGAATTCCGGGACTGAAGCTAATGAGTTAGCAATGATGATGGCTCGGTTGTACACTGGAAATCTTAACATGATAGCTCTGAGAAATGCATATCATGGTGGCAGCGCTGGAACGCTTGGGCTGACTGCTTTGCATACTTGGAAATACCCAATCCCTCAGGTTCTATAAATCGGATTTTAGCGGACACAGCTCCTTCCACATAACTTTCTTACAACTAACACACTCCAGTGTTTCTAGTTTTACGAAGCAGGATTTATTCTCACAATTTTTTTCAAATTAACAAGAAAGTTGTAGCCAAATAGAATGATAACAGCTTTCTAAAAAACAAACAAAGAAAAAGAACTACCCCAAGCAGACGCTAAGAGTCTATGCAGTTATATGTCTTACATAAGTTTTAGTCTTACATTGATGGATTTTCAGGAATTTTGTTCTGAACTAATTGGAATTGCAATCTACTCTTGTTATTATCTTGAAAATTCCTCCACTGAATCATCATCTACCTTATCCTAGCTATTTGGGATCAAAGTCGATGAATTCATTCCTGTTGAATGCTGCATATGTGGTGTTAACTTCAACTTATGCAAGTTTTTTTGTACTACTACTGGCCATATAACCTTAGGTTATCATTCTAGTACTTATTTTTTACATTAATCTATCCATCCACCTATATTAATGCATTTTCTGCCTTTATACATGTCCCAAAATTACATATTTTTTTCTGCTATCTCATCTTCATAGGTCCTACTCTCATTGCCTCCATACTCTCTCCCTAATACAATTGATTTCTTAGTTTTTCCTCACATTATATTAACATTCACATTTTGTGATATCCAACTTAGCTATCAGTGACTTTTTTGTTGGCTAATACTCATATAAAGATGACAAGGCTGATCTAAATTAATTTAATTTCTTTTTTTTTACATCATTTGCATGATAGGTATCTGCTTGACAATGCTGTTGTATTCGTCTAATTTCAGAAAAGGAGCAAATGTTGCCACTTATGCATCTCAAAGAGATTCTAATTCCTTTACAGGGCGAAGTTCATCATGTTATGAATCCCAATCCATATCGAGGGGCATTTGGCTCCGATGCTTCTCGTTATGCTGACGAAGTTAAAGATCATATTGCTTATGCTACTCCAGGAAGTGTTGCAGGATTTATTGCGGAAACATTTCAGGTCTACTTTAACTATTTTTTTCAATAGGAAACATTTATGCGCTAGTATCATATCAAACCCATATATTTTTTTCCAAAATATTTCCTTGTCCTCGTTCTGTAGGGAGTTGGAGGTGCAGCAGAATTAGCTCCTGGATACCTGAAATTAGTATATGATATTGTGCATCAAGCTGGTGGTGTCTGCATAGCTGATGAGGTTCAAAGTGGCTTTGGTCGCACTGGAAGTCATTATTGGGGCTTTCAAACACAAGGTGTCATTCCCGATATTGTCACAATGGCAAAGGTCTCTTGCTAGTACAAACATCAAGGAATTCTTTTTTTTTTTTCTGGAAGTTCCAAAATTCATTAATGCATTATACTCTTTGACTTATATTTTAGTATCATATAACTCATGACTTCTAGATAATCAACATCTCGCTTCAGTCCATATGACAAATTAATGTTAATAGCACTTGTGATCCTTAGATTAAGGATGAATATTTATTTGTCAAAAATGTAGGGCATTGGTAATGGCTTACCATTGGGAGCAGTAGTCACGACTCCTGAGATAGCTCAAGTGATGTCTCAAAGGATACAATTCAATACATTTGGTGGGAATCCTGTGTGTTCTGCTGGTGGACATGCAGTGCTTAAAGTTCTTGACAAGGAGAATCGTCAAACGCATTGTGCAGATGTCGGGTCTCACTTAGTTAGACGATTGAAAGAACTTCAAAATAAGCATGAAAGTGAGATTTTCTACCGAGATTTTGCTTATTGTACATTACAAAACACTTTCAATCAACCTACATGATTTGTATATAGAAAGGCCTTGCAAATTCTTTGGCTTTTATGCGCATAAAATATTTTGCTATTCATTTCATGATAGATTTTGATTTCTAAATACGGTGATGGATTAAGAGAAGCAAGATCCTACATTCGTTTGTATTTAATTAGTGTATGGTTATCTGCTTTTTAGTCCAAACACTTTTAGGAGACTCTTGATTCTTACTTTTACATTTCATAATGTGCAATAATGAAGTGAGATGTGTTTCTTTTATCATACTGCAATTATTTTCATGATATTTGCTCTTATTAGATTTAAATGCTCATTTATTTCTTGTCTATAAGATTGATTTCATGATGCATGACTAGAAATTTATCTAGAGATTCACTAATATTTAACTATAGTTTGTTCACCAAATATTCGAAGTTCTCAAAAATGATCACTTCGACTTCACGGTTCCATATCATACAAATTCCTCATTGAGTAATGTTTACTTTGCAGTCATTGGAGATGTCAGAGGCAGGGGACTAATGCTTGGTGTGGAACTCGTCACTGATAGAAAAGACAAAACTCCAGCCAAAGCAGAGACTTTGATATTATTTGAGAAGCTTAAAGGTAGTATCGTTTGAATTTTTTTTCCTTAATTAGTTTTTATCTTTCTACTTAATAAAACTTCTACACTTCTTAGATCTTGGAGTCCTACTTGGAAAAGGAGGTCTTCATGGGAATGTATTCCGAATAAAACCACCAATGTGCTTCAGCAAAGAGGATGCAGGTTTTTATTCTTCTTTTTTCTCTCAAAGCATAATGTTTATTAGTGCATTATTACTTGTTCCTATTTCATTAAATTGATAACTTGCTTCCTATTGCAGATTTCCTGGTGGATGCATTGGACTATGCCATCTCCACTATTTGAGTTATGTTTCTTGAATTGGAAATAATGGTGCTTCAGTTACTGGCTAAGGAGTTTTGCGATCAGACATACTGTAATTTCTTCTTTTCCTCCTCTATTATGATGTTGCACTTTATGTTTATCTAAAAATTTAAGAAGTTTGAGGAGGGTCAGAAGGAAAGATTATGAATCAAATAAATATTTAAGGAATTGAATTCAGCTCTTGTTATTTGTGTTGTTTATTTTGATATTAATGAAGTTTTGATTGTGATGATATGTTTTCAGCTCATGCTCTTATCAGCTTATGCTCCTATGAAATAAAAATTGAATTTAGTTCTTGTTTGTATGAGTTGTGTACTGATATTAACGAAGTTCAGGTTGTGATGATATGTTTTCTGCTTATGCTTTTATAAGCTATCAATTATAATCTGCGTGTGCTAATAATAACACCCACATGACTCTGAAAATGAACGGATTCTTCCAACACATTTGATTCTGTGAAACTATAATTTTTGAATCGTTATACTATTTTGTTTATCTTGGTTTAAATTAAAAATTATTAGCAAAATGTTTTACTGGATTATCGTACATTTCTGTAGAAAACTAGAAATTTCAGAGGTCCTCTTACCTCCTCTTATCCTGCTTATGAGAATACATTTAGGAATTGTTTGATTGGTTGAAAAAGAAATGCAATTTATTTAAAATTATTTAGATAGTATAAGGTAAATGCAGTTGATTATTTTATTTTATTTTATTTTTTTGCTTGAAGTAAATTGAATGCAATATAAAAGCTCAAATGTGATAGTGGCCGATGGCCAGTGAGTAGTGGTAGTCAGCAGGCAACAAAATGATAGAATTAGCAATGTATTTGAAAATAGCTCAAATGTAATTAATTTCAATTACGCTAAAATTATATCAGAGCATGAATTTCTTTTAATTCAAATTAAACATTAATATTTTTAAAATTCTTGCATTTAAAAAATATTTATTTTTCTTCAAATCAAATAGCCTTTAAAATAATATAGTTAGAGACTTCTTTTCGACATCTGGTATATCGAGTTTGATTATGGGTTTGAACTTGTGATGAAGCAGAAAAACTTTGAAAAAAATTGGGATAAGGACATTGTGATCAAAATTTATTTACAATTGATTTTGAAATGGGGGTTTCTATTCTTAAATAAAATTAGTATTACATGTCTTAAATAAAATTCATCATTTTTTTTTTCAGATTTCACCGAGAGAAACGAATATAGGATAACTAATCTGGACATTGGGCCCCTCTCGAGTTTCAAATTTTAGCAGTAACGAAGGATTGAGGGCTTCTGTGTTCTCTCCAGCAAATGCCATCTTTTGTGTTAGTAAACTCTTCGATGTAAGAAAAGATCTTTGCTTATATATTCTTCCTTCATTTCCTCCAGTTCAAGTGGTTATATTCTTAAGAAAAGAAAATTCCTGTAGGGATATCTCGACACTAATTTATATTTGATATATAATGCAAAAATTATCTTGATTGGACATTAGGCAAAATATAGTTGGTAACTTCAAAAATTAAATTTGGGATCATCTGAACTCTGATTTCAGCAAACTTACAGTCGAACAGAGCGTCTCAAAAATACAAACCCAACGACACCAAATTCAACTCAATCTGCCCAAATGAGTCCGAATCGAAAACCCAAAGCACTTTTGGAAGGTTCAAACCACAATTTGTATTACCAAATGGTTTCCAAACATGACATGCTTATAGTCACGTCGAGCGGCTCGACGAGATGAATCCAACGAGCCCAAGATCACCGAATTCCGATATCGTTAACACCTTCAAATGTCTGACAAACGGTCCACGATCAAGGGATTCAATATCGGCCGTCCATCCGAACTACTCCACATTTGCCCTTGATCCTCCTCCTATTTACAGGTCATGCCATCCTTAAAAAACTATAAATAGCCCCCTCATTTCTCTTGAGAGGGGGTCCAAGCAAGAAGAGAGGAGAAGAGGAGAAGAGAAGAAGAGGAGGGAAGAAGCTCCTTCTCGACCACCGCCAGAGTTCCGCCCGACGTTCAAATAATTCCAGAGTTCCGGCCGACGCTCAAATGACGCTAGAGTTCCGCCCGACTTTCAAGTGACGTCGGAGTTCCACCCGACGCCGGAATTCCGCCTGACCTCCAAGTGTCGCCGGAGTTTTGCCCAACATTCAAGTGTCGCCGAAGTTCTGCCCGACTTTCAAGCTGTAAAACCCCTCAAAAGTGCATTTTTTTAGTGCAGTTAGTTCGTACGAACTGACTTTAGTACGGGACGAACTGAAGAAAATTGTGAAGAATCTTTATGGTTCGTTTGGACGAACCTGTACGAGCCCGGACGAACCGTCGGGACAAAATTTGTCCAGAAAGCAAGTTGTCCATGGACGAATACATTTCGTCTGGACGAGGTTTGTCCAGAGGGAAAATCATCCCGGGACAAACAGGAATCGTCCGGGACGATCCTGTTTGATAAGTATCGGATTTGAGATATTTTGAATCATTTGGAAGAGAGAGAAAAATCTGGAGAGAGAAAGAGAAGGAAAGAGAAGAGGAAGGCTTGGTTTCGGAGGCCGCGGAGCGATTTTCGTCCGTCGACGCAATTGAAAGAATTGTTTATCTCGCACTAAGAAATCCGAATCCGATTTCTGATTTCGAAGATTTCGTGTTTTAGCATTTTTCTGCTCAGTTTTGTGTTTCCGTTACCGAAAAATATACATATCTTTGTATTGACGAAACTTTTACTGCGTAACTTTTGGTATGTTATTGAACTGATGTTTTTGTACGATTTGAGTATTTTCTGGAAAGTTTTCATCGGGTATTTTGAGTTCTGTGGGATTTTTATCGAATAGAAGATTATCCGGATGTTGAAAAATATTGATTCAGTACAAATAAAGTCTTGAAACGCTATTTTACACGATTTCTAGTAATTTGAAACTGTGCATTTTATAACGACTTCTGTCTACTATACGATATTTTAAGGGGTTTTCTAAATTGAGCCAAATCATGTTTATTGGTTGCAATGCGTTGATGATAATGATGAATGTGATTATATGATTGAAATTGTTGTAATATTACTGTATTACTGTGATACTACTGTATGTGTGGAAGACAAGTAAAGACTGGTTGAACCGTTGGTTGGAGACTGATTGACCTGTACAGGATGGTGGGCCGATGGGCTTTCCTTTAAATATGGTTTGGTGTTATCCTCTACTGATCACGTGATTACTAAAGGGAGTTATAAGGAGATGATTATTGTGCCGACGGGCAAAGAGTGACGACTATGTTTACTGAGCCAACGGATACAATATACAAGATACAAGATACTGATACAAGACTAAAAAACACCTTAATAGCCAGTGCTTTTACTTGCTCTGTATGACTACTGTACTGAATTGCATGTTTAGCAGTATTGTTACTGCTACTGTATGGATTTATTGATACTGACGGATTTATTGTTACTGTACTGTACGGATTTAGTTACTGTACTGATTTACTGTTAATGCATGATTTCATTGTTATACAATTACTGTTCATGTCACTGGATTGTACTGATACTGATACATGCACTGATACTACTGATTCACTGTACTTACATTATGCACGTGATATACTGTGTAAGTGACATGGACCATATTTCTGTTTGATTGGGGATTCGAAGGTCCATAAGGTATCGTCTTGGTCAGCATAGCGAACCGTAAAAGGCAAAAGGAGGCATGCAAGGTAGTCGGTGTGTTGTCCCAGTGTCACCTTGGAAGAATCGGTTTGTGATCGGTGCTCTGGCCTTGAGCTCGGACGTTGGGTCTTCAGTCATAGTACTGTAGGGATCTCTGAACGGCGGGCCTTAGAGCGGGATTCGGTAAGGTCTATCAAGCAGGACCATATGGCAACT